TTTTATTTTATTATAAATTTACATTAAAAATGTAATGGGTGTTACCCTTATGTTATACCTAAAAATGTATTTAGAGCTTTATATAATGTTTATTAGTTCTGTTCTAGGGAAAAAAGAAATTGGCAGAAAAATCTTTGAAAATCAGTGCCAAATAACGTATAAAAATGATTGTTAACTACAAAACCTTGAGATAGAATATGTTGTAAAGTAGACAAAAACAAATTGGCACAGTTACGGTAAAAAGTAAAAACTGACAAGATTTGTTATAGAAAAAACATTGATTTTTCTGTTATAAGATTCAATTAAAGAAATTTTTTATACCTTAATATATATAAATACTATGATATTAAATTTATAAATATATTGGCAGATTTATCGAATTGTATGTGCATAATTACCTAAAGTTATTGTGGTAAAATTAATTCCATTAATGCTGATTGATCTTTTACATTATTATTTAATTTTATCATTTTTACTCTGTTTTAGTTATTTAGGTAAAATGTACTAATACTAATTAAATATTAAATAATGTAGGTTATATTATATTTTACTATTTATTGCCAGTATGATGATCAGCAAATAACAAATCGGGAAATAGGAATAGTAAGTTTTGAATATACCTCGTCATTGAGTAGGTATTAGTTGTGTTAAAATTGAATTTTATGATAAATCATTATACATGAAACATTTTTTAATGGAAACAGTTTGTTAGGATATATTTCAAAAGATTTCTCATTAAATATGCATATTGCAATTAGTAATTTATTTTTTTTATTAAAAATACGATTGAATGGACTAATTTTTCCAAAAATAAATCGCATATATTATAATATTTTATCATTTATTATTGTTATTAACTTATAAGTCAATACCGCGTAAAAAGAACAGTGTGAATAGGTTCGTGGCATAAATAGATAAAGATTATTCTAAATATTTTAAAAGTTCCGCTGTGTATATAAAATAATAACACATATAATGGTAAAAAGTTTCAAGTACCTCCTAACGATTAATATTATTTAATTATAACATAATAACTAAAATCGTTATTATACGTTGAATATCCAATTTCATCAAAATATAAACCATAAACGTTTATAAAAAAGATTATGACTATATACTCGTATTTTAATAATTGCTTTATCAATATCTTATGAAAAACCTAGCTAGTAGTATTACAAAATAAATTTACTTAGGATTGTTTATTGTAGATAAATACTCAATACTTCTTCTATTTTACTGAACACTTAATTTCTGTAATTAAAATGTATATTAAACACTATATTGAAAATAATAATAAAAATAAAATAAAATACTTACAAAATCGTTAATTGATTTAGTTTAATAAATTATTTACTTTTTTCCAATTTTATATTAAATAAATATGATTCTTTGGCATACTTTTGTAATATGTTTTTATTCAGTTAAACTTTAAACTTTGAGAAGATTTACTTCTTTTATACATTAACTACAATTACATTTAAAGTTTCAATATTAAAGTTCATATTCAATGAATACATTATTTAAGTTTTTCAAAAACAACCTAGTTTTATTTATTTCAATCAAACTATGCATAGCATAAGTATTTAATACCACTTGATAAACTTATTCTATAAAAATCATAGTAGTCAAATGTTAAAAATATTTATATTTTTTACTTTAATTTTTTTAGAACAGATTTCAAAACGATTTTATTAATATGTGTTTAAATTTGATAAATTCTAGAACATCTTATTTATCGTTAATTCGATTTTTAATCTAAATTTTGGAAAAGTCAAAATGTATAATAAACTTATTATAAATATGTGGTCTATACCTAAATAAATAAATTTAAAAATAAAACTAACTATATTTTGTCAGTTTTTGTCTATTCGTAGCGTATAGAATTTTGCTTTTATATACTTTAAATCACTTAGAACTTTTTCTTTAGTAATATAATTACCTTTAAAAAGATTAGATTGTTTATTCAACGTAATAGATAATATTGATTATATTTTTATAACAAATATTAATAATTTAAAAGCATTAAGATGTTTAATTATTCATTTCTTTTACAATTTAGTTATGAATTAATTTTACTTTAAAATTAAATACAGAAAGTTGAATTATGTTATGAAAACAAAAAAAAAAAACATTTATTATTTATAAACAAAAATAATTTTTACCTTCTTAACTTAAAAATCTATTTTTTTTAAAATATCCAAAATTGTGCATTTTTATCATAATTGTCTAACAAAAATAATATTATAATTAAAAGTACGAAAACTTCAACTTAAATTGAATAGTATAATATCTATTTATACTTCCATTTAATAAGCTGTATGAGCTTCATCACTTTTTAAATACAGTAAAATACAGTAAAACATATAAGCATTACGTTCGAGTTAAGTTTACTAACATGCTTTTGTGAACGTAACCTAAAAACAACCATCTATCCAACATAAATATAACAATATATTTTTATTTTCTAAAGCACCTACTAAAGTATGTATTAAGAAATAATATTATTAAATTTTATACAATTTTAACGCCATATGCCCAACTTCAAAAACTTATACAACAGTAAAATAGATCTTATTCAAAAGCCGCTAATACTGGAAAACACTCTAGAAAATACTAATATCGACAGCAAAATTGAACCGAAAACTGATCAAATTAACAAATAATTTAATAAAATAAAATATTATAAAAATAAAATAATATGTAAATTTAAAATAATAAGAATTATATAAAATAAGCAAATAGTTGCGAAAATTATGACTTGAAATAATAGATAAAATAAATAAATAAAAATATTTTTTAACTGTTTAGAATATGTATATTTTAGTTTTTGAATTGTCTTACTTAATTTCTTTTTATCTTAAATAATGATATATTAGTTTTAACAAAGTTACGTAATTTATCTGTATCTTTTTAATATAGTATTATGAATTAAGTTTATAAAAAAAAAAAAAATATTATGACAGTATTTTAAAATAATCCAAACGTCTTATTGCCAAATAAAATCAATACATTTGAAAATACCTAGCGGAAGCGAAAAACCTCTTCATTCTGCCTTATCAAACATGACAGTTGTATGACGTAGAAATTATTTATTTTAAAACTTCTTGGCAACTATTCTGAAAAATTGATTTTAAAGTCTAGTAAAATTTAAAATCTTTCATTTTTGTGGTGGATAATGTATTTAGTCTCTTGTAAAATAAAGAACATTACCAATTCATGCGATTTAATCTAGAGTAATATGTGTACATCACACATGCTCAAAGATAAACCGTTGAAAATTATTCCCTATGAATAACCGATTAAAACATGGCTATAACGCATTTTCATTGTATTTTGCCATTATTCACTTCCGGTTTCCTTTTAATTTCATTTTAAAGGGGCTTATTATCTAATACAAAATTCCTCATAAGTTCCCCTAACAGAAACAAGTCGATGCATATTAAATTCAAACACGAAGCCACGTGAACGGATGTCATTGCGGTAAGGACTTCTATATGAATACACACGTGCCTACCACTCCGGTAAATCATCCAACCATGAAATCACCATAATATCAATACAAAACTATCAGCTATTATAGGTACACAAAATATACCACAATTCTATTTTAAATGCGTTTTATTTGTTTAATTAAATCGAACAAAGAACTACACTTATTTTATTATAAATATTACCTATTTTAGCGTATATACGCTTAATGTCATTATTTATTTTATTCAATGGTTCTTGTCAATGTATTTAAAATATATTTTTATTATATGAATTGGTACATTTGACATAACATCCTCATTATTTCAGAATATGATATTTCTTAAATACTTTAGTTTCTAAATTTCTATCGTTAAACAAATTTTTCAATGTAGCTATGCAAAATATGAATACTTTGTATAAAATTAAACATTCATAACTATTCTAATTACTTTTAACTTTTTATTTTTTAAATAAAAACCTTAAGACTAACTTTACAATATATTTTTAATATGTTTGTGTATCTCTATCTTTACCTTAAATTTTATTTCATTTAAAGTAAGTAAAAAAAAAACAAAACTTTATTATTTTATCATTAAATTAATTTTTACAAGAGAAAATTAAAATTAATAAATCAAAAACTTAATTTTTTCCTATATTAATACTAATATAATATACTAATAAAACTCCAATACTAATTTTAAAAATTTAAGCAGCTTTATATCATTCATTACTTAATATGAAAACATATCTATACATTTTAAAATGTTTTAAATCTTAAAACTAGTCATTAAAGTTACCATAAGTAAGAATATGTTGTTTGTGACATTATTGCGTTTGGGTTCCTGAATATCAGATAATTTCAAAATAGATTACATTTGTAATGAAATTCACACAAATAAAGTCATCCAGTAATAAAATATACTATTTATTTAGTCAATAAAAACGATAATATTGAATTATTAAATTGGACAGAAGCTGTGTATCAAAATTTTCGTGTCAGCTATAAAGATATATTTATGAGTTATCGAGGTTCAAGGTTCTGGTAGCCAATAGGTATAAAACGGGAGTCTTACCTCAAATACTTAGAAAAAATAAAAATTAAATAAAAAACATTTCACAAATGTTTTATTTACTCCGAATGAAGTTAACAGCTTGTACTACAAGATATTTTTCTACAAAAATATTTTTAAATTATTTATTTTTATCATTACTATTTCTAGCAAAATATGAGAGTATTATTATTTTTATTTTTATTCTTAAATTTCAACTAAAATATTTGAGTAAAGAGAAAAAAATTTAAAGGTTTTAATATTATCAATCTAATAGTAAAATATTAATTGTAGAAATCAATTTCTAAATAAAACAAAACAACGAACGTCATAAATGTTATCTATGATAGACATTGAGCGCCCTATAGTATTGCAATTATAATATTTACTTAATTATTAGTTTAACTGCTTAACTTTCAAATGCCTGTCAATAGTTGTTATAAGTTTTATTTAAAATAAAATTGTATTTTTATAACTTACCTGGTTCGGTTGAATTTCTGGTTAATTTTAACTGTGGATCGAAATGAACGCATGACACTGAGCCAATGCTTCCTCTTGGTGTTCTTCCCAAAGATGCAGATTCGGCCATCGGTATACTGCTCCTAGCTGACCGACTCATATTATACGCACCTTCTGATACTACACTACCTCGGGGACTTTTTCCGGGGTCTGGTATCAAGCTACCTCTAGGACTCCGATTGGTATCAGGTGTCACTGCCAAACTACCTCTAGGACTTCGATTTAAATCGTAAGCAATGCTTCCTCTAGGTGATCGACTTGAGTCTGGTACTAAACTATTTTTTGGACTTCTAGATGGATCTAAGCCGGCAGTACTTGATCTTGGACTTCGGTTGAAACTCTCCACGTCTAATCGCAGTCCAGACCTTAATTCCGAATAATCATCCTCTGGCACCATACTACCTCTCGGACTTCTCGGGCTTCTTGGATCTGGATGCTCACATGTAAGACTATGCCTAGGACTCCGGTTGATATCAACTTCAAGCCTTGAAGAACTAGACCGTGTATATGATTCTTGTTGTTCGTCTGGTAATAATCGTGGAGGTTTTCGATGATCTGATGGTACCAAACTCGTTCGCGGACTTCTTGACATATCTGGAACCAAACTATTTCTAGGACTCTTATCAATATATTGTACTTTAGATTCAGATACAAAACTCGGTCTGGGACTTCGTTTATGTGTATATTCAAAAAACTCCTCTTCCGGCGATACTCTAGTTCTTTGCCGCATTTCGAATCCATCAGAAGGTGACGTAGCTGCTATACTAGCTCTTCTATGTTGTGGTAACTGCTGTTGCCTTCCTCCTTCTGTAAGTCTCGTTGACTGACTTTCTAAATTAAACGCCACACTTGTTCGGCGTGAATCACTGTTGACAGCACGCCGCTTTCTTGATGATGGAGATCTTTGAAGCATTATGGCATCTACACCGTTCACAATAAGATGTACGAAACGTGATCTAATTTCACAAAAAAAAAAAAACAGATCAAGATTAATATTTTATCATGGTATAAAAATAAATATAAAATACGTTTAAGAAGCTAGATTTAGTAATTACTCATAACTTAACAAAAAGCGTAAACTTTATCCTTGAACAATTAATATTAAATTTCATAGTTCTCAAACAGTCATACCAAAATTTAAAAAATAAAATAAATACCAAATCAATAATATTTTGCTTTTATAAACAATAACAATATAGAACTTAGTTAATTCCAATTTTTTTATATTCTTATAGTAATAAATATTGAAATATTTATATGCATGATAGATCCATTTAAACTATACATAGGTACTAACAATAAAAAAACATCATAATTGATCAAAAAAATTCATTAATTTAAGCCCCACTTACAATTAAAAAGTGCCATTTTTATTGCTATGGTTTAAATCAAATATTCCTGTAAAAATATTTCTACTATTTTGTAAGCTGCAATAAATCAGCTATATATTCAAAATTTAATAATTTGTTTATGTATAACAATAAAATATAATATTTCTAAGTAAATTATTATTTTTATTTTAAATTATAATAAATTGTTCATATGATAACTTAAATATAAATATTTATCAGCAACATTAACATAATACATAATAACACATTCGAAAATGAAGAGTTTTTCATACATTACACATACTTAATCTTTATTTTATAAAATAATTTTCAAGATTATATATGTAGATACAAAAAAAATTATGTTAAAAATTATGCACAAAATCAATTACTACAACTCTTTGTGTTATCATACTTTCAACCGCTTGAAAATTGTATTTGGTCTCACATAAGATTTATTTTTATTTTCTCATTAGTATCCATACATATAAGAAAAACTTCTAAAAATGTAAGAACTTATAGCATTCCTTTTAATTAAACATAATTTGAATCTAAGCTTTAAAATACAAATTAAACTCAAATCTTGATCACCAGCAATACTTTTTATAACTCAAAAAGTTTTTGCAGAACAAATAATTTATTTTTAAACGTAAATTCTTGATTTTTCTCAGGATTTAAAATAATAGAAACTTAAATTGTCTGGATTATTAAACTATCAAGCTTAAAGTTTTATAAATTGCTTATCATTATTTACGACCATATCTATATAACTAATGTATTTCTATTATGTGGGTTTTTTTTTAAGTTTCTTTTCGAAGTTTAGTATTTGTTACCTTAAGAGGACGTCGCACCCGCATGTGTTGTCTCCGTCTTACACACGTATGACATAGTAAATTTTCGTTCACCAGTTTCAATAATGTGCTTTTAGTTTTGATATTAGAATAAATTGACCTATTATCAAACTTTTAGGTAAAAACATTATCTGTGTTCTCTCGTTGATTTTTTACAATATTTTAATTTTTAAGTGAATTAAGAGCATTTTTATACATTTATATTTTTCATACTCATAACTCACTTAAAAATTAAAATATCGTAAAAAACCAACGAGAGAACACAGATAATATTCTTACTTAAAAGTTCGATTATAGATATATTTACTCTAATATCAAAACTAAAAGCACACGGAGACAACATATACGGGTACGGTGTTCTCTTAAAATGAAACTTTAAAAAATAAATTAACTAGTTTTTGAGTTATTTATTAAAATTTTAAATTAAAAAAAATGTCTGTTCTAAAATATTATTGACCATAAGAAATATTGAATCAAAGTTAAATTGAACTAGAACTCTGAATCACTCGCCCCAATTATAGAGTACCTAATAGTTGTGTGAAAGATATTAATTAACTCAAATCAGTAATGATAATGACAATCGGAGATATCCCGAGTACGTCCCGTTTTTAGTTTTTACCTTTTTCATAGCCCAAAGACGTCCGCAGTCTTACCGAAAAAATATATTGAATGGCCTGAGTACGTCCTCGGTCCACAGCTATAGATCCTATTTAAGATAAAATTATCAAATAAACTTTTCAAGATACAAGTTTGAGTGATTTGACGATGATCAAATATGTTGGTTCAAATATACAACTATAATACTTTATTTTTAAAGCTATGGTTTTGGAATACTGGAAACGATGGGAAGATTGCATTTTAACTTCTATAATGATTTATGAAAATAAATAAATAAAATTTGTCTTAAATAAAAAAAAAACTTTTAAAAATAATTAATACACTTTCCCTAATTCAAGAGTGTAAATAAAATAAAATATATAATTATAAATAAGAATCAAAAAATATTTTTGGAGTATGAACCAGTTTACTTCCTCGTGGTGCACCCTGGCTAACTCTAATTGAACTGGGACACACTAGGACTATATCAAAAATATGACCTTTTTTCTTAAGACGCACTCGGGTGATACCTTATTTCGAATGCACTTGGAACATTAAAAAATATCATTTCGGAACACACTTAAGAAATTCCCTGACAATCAATACCCATCACAAACAAAAATGACCGGTTTGTGCTTTTCAATAATCTTCACACTACAAAAAATCATTAAAAAACAAAAAATTAAAATTAGTAATATGTTTACAATAGTATTGTATATTATATGAATAATATTTATATTATACACATCAGTATTTTTCGTACATAATACTCCAATTAATAACATAAGTACAAAATTTACTGATATTTGGCATACTCAAGACTTTTGTCATAAATTTGTAAATCATTAAATAAATTTAAAAAAAAGTAAAACATTAAACTATATTTCATATATTTTATAATGACATAATATCGAAATATCAATCTTAAATTATTCTATATAATATAACACAAATATATGTTTATTATGTTTAATGAGAAATATTAAAACAATACTATATTAATTTATTGGTCAAAATCAGTGAACTAAAGGAGTTTCCTACTCCCAGATTTAAACAACTTGAATAATGTTTTCATACCTATTCTACAAATTCACACGGCTCATCCAAAAACAGTGTTATATTCAACGCTTTCTTATTTTCAAAAACTAGCAACTGAATAATGTATATGTTGTTAAAATTAAAACTACATGATAATTGTAACGTTTAATTTAACATTTTAAAAACTTAAAACAGATTTTTTAAATAAAAAATATTGATATAAATATATAATATTTATATATATAATATATATGTATTTATTTATTTATTCGTGTGACTTTACAGTGAGCGATAGCACTAAAATATTTTCTAATTAAATATATGTATTAGTGTTAAAAAGTACCAGCTATAGCCTGTAGTTATATAATAACACACAAAACTTCTTATGAGAAATAGTGCAATAATTAATGAACTAAGCTAAGTGACTTATTATTCTTCTTTAATAAAAATAATGTAGCTTTAGATTAGCTTATAATTTTAAAATGTATAAATAAAATCAAAAATGGTTTTTTAATTTATTAAAATATTTGTTACAGCTGATTTACAAAATATAAATATTAGATATTTTATAAAATCACTCAAAAAATCTCCTTTATAATAAACACTCCACTGTTTTCAGTAAGAAACTCAATTATTTAGATGGAAATAAAATATGTAACTACTCGAAATCTAAATATTACAACTATAATCTTTTAAAGAAAATTAAATTCAAAATTTAAATTTCAATAATAATTATATATACATTTATAGTACATAATTGTAATTACTTTAAAAATATATTTTATAAGTATTTAAATTTTGTTCTATTTTTAGGTTCTAAATACATTTTTTTCTCAGTTATATAAAAACATTAATATTATTAAAATGAAATAATTTAATGACAACAGAAAACTTAACAATATTTTATCAGAAACCTTACAGAATAAAAATAAATTTAACATACCTATAAAATATTAATGATTATAGATTTACCCACTTTGATTAAGTTTATTCGATTATTTGTTAAAAGTTATATCTTTTAACGCCAGAGCTTTAGTTATTACATAATTCAAAAAGTCTGTCATATCATATCTCAAAAATAAGTTAAAGTAAAATGTTTGAAAATAAAAATAAGAGTTTAAAAAAATTAACTGATTTTTTTTTTTTTTGATAATTATAATATAATACGTTTATTGAAGTAAGTAGATACAAATTACAACTATTAAAATTGTAAAATGTATAATTATAAATTTAAGTTAACTGTTTAAATAATACATGACTGATTCTAATAAACTAAAAGCATATAAATTAATCAGTTAATATAAACATTGAATATATAATAAACTGGTATTCATTTTATTTATGTCTATAAAGAGGTCAAAAGTCCAACATTTTACTTCATTAATTTTTCATTTTATCGTGTCACTTCCCTGCTGTTAAACAAATAGCAATGCCATTCGGTATACGTATACTACATTATTGAATAAAAGTTACTGACACTGGATTATCAACATATTCGAGGTTAGATTGACATATTCATAAACAAAAATTAAATTCTTAACATAATTTCTTTTAAAAATAGTATTTACTACGCCTGAAATAGTCTAAAAATTTCTATATTTATTATAAAAAGGTAACCATAAAAACAAAAATGTACGATATGTTGGCTGTTAATGAGGTACTCATTTTGTCAAAAGCTATACAATTCAATAAATAAATTGTTTAGTCCTATATATAAACATTTTGAAACAAAATAATAAAAATGTATTGATTACAATAAAAACTATGCTGTATACATAAATTCAAAATTTTTTTTTACACCTATTCATATCCGCGCAATATGTAAATAGTAAAACCAGATTTACAAGCATATTTATTTTTTTTTATTTTAAAAATAAACATTTTACGTGTATATAAAATAAATACAGTAACGCTTTATGGTCTAAATTAATGAACACTTAGAAATCCTAGCAGATAAATGTATTATATAGATCATCATTAGAAAATTATTTAATTAATTATATTTTATATCTGTGTACATTTCTTGATATTCCTTCATTAAACTAACCATTTATCTTAAACATTATTTAAATTTATATTTTATTTTATTTTCATTAATCTGGTTCCTTCTATCCTCACTATCATATATCTAACTTATTACCGTTACTACATACCTTCCTCGTCGTCCCTCTCATTCTTGTTTCAATTACAGACAGTAATGTCATGTATTAATATTCATGTCATACGCCAAGCACACGCATCTAAATTAAATATAGAGAGGCAACGACGCCCTGTATGGTGATGACGGTTATGAAGGCCGTAAGAAAATCACATCGAAACATTAATTAAAACGACAATACGCGGCCACCACTAATTCTAAATTTGACCCTGCTTTACACCTCGTCTCGTGTTAACGCCAATGTTGATTTAACACCATTTCCTACATTGATTTCCTGTCAAACAACTATTTTATTTTCTGATAGGTGTTTAGTGCACAATTATGGAAATACTCAGTTTTGTGATTGGTACATTAATATTTAAGCTACTAATGATCAACGATCATCGCTACAATAATATTATATTTTTATTTATTTAGATTTATACAATAAGAGTGAACAATTGAGAAGACATCCATATGCGTTGTCTCCGTCTTTCAGACATACAATTTGGAATATTTGTGTTCAACAGTTCCAATTTTGTGTTGTTAGTTTTAATATCAAAGTAAATTGACTTGTTATCGAACTTAAAAAAAGAACATAATTTGAGTTTTTACGAAAGATTTTTTTTTTAAATTTGAATTTTAAATCAAATTATTAGTATATTACATATTAAAAATTAAAATTATTCTATCTAATAAAAAAATTTAAAAATTGTACAAATATATAATGTTCTTACCTTGAGTTCCATAGTCACTCTAATATTTAAACAAACAACATAAAGTTTGGTAAGTTGCACGTTGATAACATGGAGGCAACAAATGTTGAGAAATGAAATCCTTTTAATTTAATAATAAATTATATGTAAAAATATCTACGTATGCATAAGTATATTAATAAAGCGATTTAATATACAATGTTCACGATATATTGAAAAAATGCATTAGATAAATTGAATAAACGTAATATCTACTGACTATCATTACGGCGTTACATTCAAAATAAATTTTAAAACAATATGTAAATCATAATATTTAAATTTTCTTTCGTTTTAGGTAGGTAAGGTTTATATTAATTAAATTGTAAGTAAATATTTCTAATAGTATTTTGTGTACGTAAATCAAATAATACTCTATTAAATTAAAATTATTTTTAAGATCCAGTTCTGAGCAAATACTCGTAAGTAATAACCTATGCAGTTATACAAATACTTAACTCGTACATTTGTATATAACTTTTGAGTATTAAAACATGAATATTTATTCAATTCAATAATGTATAAATAAAATGTTTAAAGTAATTATATTTACAATGAAAGTAAATTTTATGTTATACTTGTTTTCAAAACTTTTTATATTAAATCTTAGCAACTTATAATTAAACCTTGGTCATAATTTTTACAACATTTTAAGTAGGTGTTATGGTTTTTATTAAATCAACATATGAAAAGAATTTTATTCAAACTAAAAAACAATACTATAAATAAAAATATCATATATTTTGCGATACATAAACTATTTTCCAATATTAGCTAGAACCAATAATAAAACTTACCCCTCAAAAATAATAATTAAAACGACTGCAGATAGTTGAAAATTCAATAAATCTACTTCATATAATAATCACAGAAAAAATTTCAGAAACCAAATGGACTTGTTTATATGAAATAAACTTATTAAACATATTATGTGTCTTTATAAAACAATGGATATTTAATAATATACAAAAGTTACTTCTAATGTACAAGTATTATGTATAGAAACTATAAAGACTACCATGAAGTCTAATACAGGTTAGATTTGTTTTAAAACTGACCATGGTGATATCTCAATATTATTTACCAATTAAATACTTCTATACAAACTTCTTGATATATAAATATGTATATTAGTATATTACATATTTACAGTCGACAATATAAATCATAATTGATAAGAAACATACAAAACATGTAATAACAATGACACACAGAATACTCTCAACAATGTTTAATCTCAATAATTTTATACTATATCATAATAAGCAGGGATCGGCAACCTTTTTAACCACATGGGCCATTTTTTTTTTCAATTGTTCATCAAGGGCCACATTAAAAAAAAAAATTACATATTATGATATAATACTTATAATTGTATTGCTATTATGAAACGGTTAGATTGGATTTTATTTATAAAGGAAAAAGAATTATATAATATTCAAAATTATATGAAAAATGTTATTGAACAAAAGTAAAACACAAAAATTAACCACCTTTGTGCGGGCCATCAAAAACTGCTTTGCGGGCCGCATGCGGGCCGCGGGCCGTGGGTTGCCGACCCCTGTCATATAGCAACAAAAATAAATGGATAAAATCGATTTTCACACAAAATTTAAATATAAATATAAATCAAAAGTGTAACTAATAGCCATATACTAGTATAATTTATAATTATTACCAATAAAGAGAATAAATATACTACCATAAAATATTCAATAATTTATCAGTTCTTATAATAAGGGCACCGACGCCTACTGTTAAATATCATGTACTTCTTTAATCTGTGTATATCCATGTTATGTCGCATGCATGTTTTAAAAAATATACGACAGCCTACTTATAATTTAAATCATCAAATGTTTTTGACAGTTAATTAAACAACTATATACAATATGCAATATTGTTTTACTCTTTTTAGAAACGTAAATTAAAATCTTCATTCTCGTAAATATTAAATTATAAAATTCTCAGTAAAATAATTATTAATTAATAAATTAATTTTTATTTATTCTAAGGCTTTATCTAACAATCGTATTCATAATTTAAAAATGGGATTTCAAAGGTCTGAACTATCTATTTCATACATATTTCCATTTTCCATGTAATAGTTTGTTAAAAAATACACATTTTCATGGCACGTAGGATGTTTAAAGATCTTGTGGCTTGTATTAATTAAACAATGTTTTATTTAATCTCAAAATGATTTGGGATATAGCATAATTTTTTTCATTTCGTTTTTATTACAATTATTTTGTTTCATGACATGAGTCTTATTCTCTAAATGTCCATCCTCATATTCAATTGCTTATTCGTTCATATGAAATAAGTTATCCTGAACAATAGACTTTTTCACATAACATCATTGCAATATGTTTTTTAATACTTCAGGATATTAATGGTATAGAACATGATTAACCTCAACCCTTTCAATAATAAATACAATTAGAAAGTTTACAGCAACAATTAATTTTGACTTTAGATTAATGATTTTTCCGCTCCTATATTATTTTTATTAATTATAATTATTAATATGTATTTATAAACCATATGATTCATGATTACAAAACTTTATAAGGTTTGTCCATCATATGAATAAATAAGTCTTAAGTGATCACTGGTTACATATACATGCTCTTTCATCATACATAAATTTATACTCGAATTCAAACCTCAACACTACAAAATCTCAATAAGATGTTTTTAAAATAGCTAGCTATTAATAATACTACTATAATGAAACCTCCTAATAGCAGATTATTTCTTGAAAAAAAAGATATTTTTTTACTTGTTAATCGAAAAATCTCCAAATAATGAACATCTATTTTAATATTATTTTAAAAATAACGAAAAAACAACGAGAGAAAAATACTGTAGCGTTTTATTGAAACCTCTTTAAGTCTTTATGGGACAATAAGATAAGATTACAACGAATAAAAACTATTACGGCAAAAATATCAATATCTTGACTTTCGATATTTTGTGCATTTTATTAGTTGATTACTTAATGACGGTTTTTGACGTGATAAGTTCGTTAAAATATAATTGGTTATCGATACGCAAAAAAGTTGAAAGTTTAGACTTCCGTAAAACAACTGATACCAAAGAGTCCGAGTACTATCAGAAAAATTTCACTTTTTCACAAGGAAAACACTGATCGCAGATATTGTATCTAACACATAGACAAGTGAAAAGCCGTTATATTTTGTCTTCTACTGTAACTTTATCAAATAAACTTGCTAATGAAATTATTCAGAGACAAAATAGTAATAAGTAACCAAGCCGGCTAATTTTTTTTCCATCAAATTTAATTGTATTTAAGTATGTATCTAAGATTTTTTTTTTAAATACATATGCATTTTTTTATTATTCATACAATATTACATATTATATCACTAAAAATTAAAATATAATAACACAATAAAAAATATTTAACATAAAGCATATTTTTTTCTTTTTAAACATTAGTCTTCGTGAATTTCATAAATTTTCTCCCTCTGAATAGTAAATTATTTATACATAAAATACATAAAATTTCTATAACGATGATCATTGCTGAGTAATAAATATTTAAATAATTTTAAACAAATATAAAATACTAATTTAACACAATTTATAAACCCATATACATAAATTTTTCAGCTACTTTTAAAACGTTCATCCTTAAACACCAAAATCCATCCACATTTTAAAAACGTATTAACGTAATGACTTAATATATATATATATATATATATATGTATATGTGTGTGTGTATGAATTTATGTTAATTTATAATAAGTAAGGCAAAAGTCAAATAACGATTATAAATGTTAGACATCTATAAATAGCTTTTAATTTAAAACTAAATATAAAACAATAAATAACTTATGTAGTACCCAATAAATACTTACGTGTTATATAATACATTTTTGTCTATAATATTAAAACAATTCAATAGGTAATATCAAATTAATTTAATATAAATAAAATATATATTAGGGGCAAACAATATATTTTAAATCATTTATGAATGACTAAAAACTGTCAATGGTAAATTGATTAGGTATTATTACAACTAAAGTTGTTAGAGAACACGGTCAAAACAAAAATATAAAATAATATATTTCCTTTAGCGTAAAAACTACTAAATTACTTTTATACGGTTTTTGAAACATCATTATTATTAAGCAAAACTTACAAATATTATATTTTTAAAGCGAGAAAATTATTTTAAAAAATATTAACAAGTATTTTCACTGTTTTAAGGAAATGGAAATATTTTAATATTAAACATCTTAAACACTAAAATCTTTTTACTTAACTGTTTTAACCCTGTGTGTTTCTTGTTATTCAATATAAATATTACTTATATATATTTTTAGCACCTAACTAAATCGTTTGAAAAATTCATTCAAGCGTTTTTTGGCAATCAGTTGTGTAAAAAAAATAAATATTTACATAAGTTAAAAATCAATGTTTTTATTTTATTTCAGACCTTTAAAGGCGATGGTATCTTTAAATAAAGCATGTAAATTGAAGATTCAGAATCGGTTGAAACAGAAACATGTGACAAATCTTTCACCCTTACATGTATGATACATCACCCTCACACACCATTATTTACATAAATAATGATATAATGATGGTGGCACTCTAACCTGTATTATTCATTCTATTAAAAATATAATTGAGTCAACTTTCATCAACAATGACAACATAATATATGACAGTTATTATATAACTCTAAATTTTTCTATCAAAATTTTAAACAAAATAACCTTCACACTTTGTACATTTTATGTTTTCAATGATGAATTTAAAATGATAGGACTATAAGTACTACATTTTTGCAAGTAATATTATTCACTTTATTTATATTTAGTATTTACCTTACCCCATTTATAGTACTTATTATTATTATTCAAAGTATAATTTATTAAAATATCAGAAAAATATTTGAAAATTTTATACCATTTGTTTCTAATATATTTACTCGTAGAATAACAAAAATATAATTAATTA